GTTATCCAAATTACAATAAAATTATAATATTATACAATAATATATTGGGAAAAAATGAAGGGAAAAAATAAAAATGGTTTGATACGCAATTTTATTAGATACGTTTCAATATTACAATAGTGGGTCGTTTTGTCAACGTTTAGCTACCAAACCAACCAAAATGCACATAAATAATTGACAAACTTGGAACTATTTATAATTTGTAGCAAATTCAAAATAAGATAACAAATATAATTTATACATCAAATCATATCTAGTAACTATAAGTTATTAATTAAATTGTATATATTTAAATTTGTATAATTATTTTAAAATAACATTTAGAACGTGTTGTTCAAATGAAAAAATATAATTATATCATATAAACAAATTTATTATAATTAATTGTAAAATTATCTTGATCTATAAAAGCAGACCAAAATTTTTAATAACAAATTATATATTACTAGTTTTAAGCATTTTATTTATGGTTTTTCAAATATAGTTTATTTTAATAAAAAAAAATAATTTATAAGTTATTATTTTATATTTATTTACTTTTAAAAATAACGAAATGGTGATGAAAAAAGAAAAGGTGGAAAAAGTCTGGCTCGTTTGCAAATTAAAGTATAATATAATATTTATTACTATAAATTAAAAAACATTTTGAAAAAACATATTTTAAATACATTAATTAAAACATAAAAAAACATTTATAAAAACAAACAATGGAAAATGGAATTAAACACTTAATTATTTTTTTTTCTGTTTATGTAAACACAATTTATGTTTAAAATACAAGAACGGAAATTGAAATTCAAAGCACATATTTTATCGGTTTATTGAACAAAAAAAACAAAATGTTACTACAAAGTTTTAATAAAAAAAAGAAAAACAACTTTATACAATTTACTATTAAAACAAAAAAGTGTTGAACACAAAATTATACACAACCTTCATTTACTCTCTAATATGACTGAAAAGTGTTTAAAAATCCAATCAAAATTATAAAAAAGGAGAATTATAACAAAGACATAGTGGTGTAACATTATTGACATTTTCTAATTTAATTTACATTTCAGTTTTCTCTTAAACAACTGAAACGTCAAATAAATTATACAATTGTATTATTACAATGTTTACAAACTGCAACTTCTAAAAAACAGATATAACAATCAACATAACCATTTATTTTCAACACTTTTAATGCACAAACAATAGAAACGGTGTCTAAAATTGACGAAACTGTGAGACAAAATTTAGTACTTCGAACACGATGAGAAATGTTGCTCAAATCCAATTGTGCAAAAAGTCTGAAAAAAGAAATCGCACAATAACAAATGTACAAAATAGAACAAGTAGTGGAAAGAAACGTATTAATCGATTAAGAAATAATCATACAAGACATAACATATATAACGAAAATGGAAATTGGTTTTCTGCAAAGAGAGTTGAAAATTGTAATAAGTTATGATAAAGA